TCTCTGAGTGTGTGTGTGTGTGTCGCAGGCAGCAGCTGATGGATCTGTGTGCGTCTGCGCTGGAGAACCCGCTGAGGGTCCGAGACGAGCAGCAGCAGGTCTGATCATACAGCAGACGATAATCAGATGATCAATATCAGTGGCAGATCTGTACACACACACACACACACACACTCTCTCTCTCGCTCTCTCTGACCGAGTGTGTGTGTGTGTGTGTGTGTGTGTGTGTGTGTGTGTGTGTGTGTGTGTGTGTGTGTGTGTGTGTGTTTCAGGAGGCCGACAGACAGATCTGTGCATCCAGCGTTCTGCATCAGGCCGACCAGACCTGCAGACGGGTGGTGTCTCAGACAATCAAGACGGCCCGCGGTACAGACACACACACACACACACACACACACACACTACACACTGGTGTTTGAGCTGATCCTGGGTCTGTGTGTCCTCAGAGCGGCAGGCGTCTCCAGCAGAGCTGCAGCTTCTCTCGGCTGAGCTGAACCGGCTGAAGTGTGTGTTCCTGCAGGAGCTGCGCAGGGCCGTTCTGCAGTCTCCACACACACACACACCCGCGCACGTGCAGGCGCAGTTTGAGCACCGCATACACCGCTGCCTGAACACCGGCAGGACTGACCCGGGGCCAGCGATGCGGACTGTGCTGGTGTCTGAGGCCCGCGGGGCGCTGAGCAGAGCTGATGAGGAACACACACTGACCAACACCAGCACCAGCTGATCAATAACCCAGACAGAGCGGTGTTCAGTAGACCAGGACGGGTCAGATGTGGACTGTAGAGCGCTGATGATGTGTCATGAGGAGAGAGGAACTCTTGAGCAGGAGTGATGAACTCATTCATCAATAAGAGGTTCTGTTTCTCTCATCATGTCTGTAAGTGGATCATCACTGCACTGATTTTCAAATGACAATAAAGAGTGTTGAGTTATGAAGTCTGATCAGTCTCTGAGTACTGAAATAACCCAGCGTCGTCTCCATCATCATCATCATCATCTCAGTGTTTCCTGCTGGTGTTTGTTTCCGCCGGACTCATTTCGCGGTGACGCAGAGCCGTAATGGCGGCCGTGTGCAGAATGCTGCGACAGGTAAGTGCGCACTAAACGGGCCGCGTATCATTAATAACACTCAGTGGTGCACACTAGTGAACACAAGACAAGAAAGTCATGATTTAGATGAGAGCACAGAGCTGAGCTGCGATCGGACGGTGTTTGCTGGACTACAGGACACACACACACACACACACACACACACACACACACGCGCGCGCGCCGCTGTCTGCAGTTCTGGCGCTTCTCATTTATTTGTGTTTTTAGCGGGAACTTTCACACGAGCGCGCGCTGCAGTCATCAGAGATGTACATTAATATTGATATTGAGTTGATGCTGTCCCGGAACTGATCCCGGGATGACCTTGCGTGTGTGCTCCACCGGTGACCCGTTACTCTGTTTACACATTCACCTGGACACACAGTCCGGTCCCCTGAACACACGAGCACTGGTTTGAAGTAACTCATTGTAAATACTCAGATTACAGTAATGGAGGAGTGTTTCTCAGGAATCGTAATTCTCTGTGTAGTGTTATAAATGTGTGCTTTTACTCTGTCTTGAGTTCTTGTTTACTGCAGTATCGGTTCTGTTCCTCCTCTACAGTCCTCCAGTCTGCATCACTACTGGATTATTTCCTGTCTGATTACAGAAATCAGTCCTGCGACTCCTGACCAATCAGATCACTCATCCTAATGAACGCCTCAGTGTCTGGACGGGCGGTTTATAATTACAGTTAACTGTGTGGAAGCGTTAAACGTGTTCAAGAAGATCCAAAATCTCCACACACTGACCCAGAGACTGTTAGATGAGGTCACTGATGAGGAGATGGCGGATGTTTACTGTATGAGGACTGAAACACTTTTTTTATTTTATTTTAATGTCAGGTTAACAATAACATCATAGAAATGCAAGAGTGTACATGAGTTTTACAGAGGAGCAAAGACTCAAGTAAGCACATAAAAGAGAAAAGAAAACAACAATGAAAAGAAAAACAAATAATATTACCTTATGTGTTAAGAAAATTAAAAAAGGAAAATAAGTTAACCGTTCTAATGGCTTTAAGATTTTAGAGGAAGCAATAGTTCTAATGTACAGTTGAATTTCCTTTTCAAAAACAATAAAACAAGGTATATGCTGAGAGAATTTACAGCGGTGTATATGGAATTTAGCAAGGATTAAAATGAGATTAATAATGAAATATTCCTTACTTTTATCATCAGGAGCATTAAAAAAACCAGCAGGATATCCTTAAAAGATAACAAGAATCCTGGTAGTATTTTACGATAAATATCTAAAGAAAGTTCAATCCAAAAGCATTGTGTATGAGGGCAACTCCAAAAAATATGGTCATGATGACTGAAACGCACAGCAGCACAGGATGACAACATGATGTCAGATTGACGCTGTACCCTGACGTCATGAGGATGCTGCGTTTAGTTTGGAGGGTTGACATCAGAACACAACAGCAGGCCAATGTCAACATCCAACCTAAAACCAACCTGATATCAACGTCTAATGGTGCTACAGCTTGGCGTTGTGTGGAGGTTACCGCTATGACGTCTATCAGATGCTGGATGTCGGTCGCCAGACCTGATGAATAAATGTCAGTGTTTGACTCAGTATGTCGCTGGGTTAAGATGTGGACTCGATGTAGGATTCCGGTCACTTGCTGACAACCTAAAATCAACCAAACATCAACGTCACTTGACCTCATCATTGGACATCAGAATAACGCTTCTTAGACGCTGGCCAGACCTTGAATATCGGTCACCTGACATCACAGCTAATGTAAACATGTACAAACTTAGTGCAAGAGAACTCATCTCACAACAACTATGAACAAAACAAATAGAAGAGAATGAAATGAATTATCTCAGTTATACAGAGTGTAAACAGGCGGTAAAACAGGGGTAAATAATAAAGTAGGTCAAATAATAATTGTAAGTTTTATTCAGTCAATTGAAATGTACACAATGCCTCAGGTGTTAGCTTTTCTGTTTTGAATGGTATATAGTGTAATACTATAGTGTTTAATCTCCTTTATAAAATGTTCACAATTTGGCTCAGCTTTGGCCCATTTCATGACATTAATAAGGTGTTTTACTAGTAATATTATTAGCTGTACGAGATAATAGTTTGTACTTTTTAAGATCAACATCACGACCTAAATCTGACCTGATATGAACATGTGATGATGACGTGTGTGTGCTGGACAATCACTAAATGCACTACAGAATGTTTGGTTTACACACACACACACACACACACACGCGCTTAACACAGCGCAATACTCTCCTCTTGAAAGCTGGACTGTTCACTCATACTCTGAGTGATGTTTACAGCAGACACTGTTACTCTGCATCTGTAGGAGAGTCATGCTGCTCTACTGGAGTCTGCCTGATCACTGCTCTCTCCACCACTGCACACGACTATACACCAAAGCTCAACTATACACCCATCATGTTGATGCAGTAAACTGTGTGTGTGTGTGTGTGTGTGTGTGTGTAGGTTTCTCGTGCGCGCGCCGCTGTCAGACTGCTGTGTTCGCGCGCAGCGGCTACAGAAACTCTTCAGGATGGAAACAGAAACTCTTTTCAGCCCCTGCAGAGTTTCTCAGAGGAGGAGAGCATGATGAGGGAGACGGGTGAGACTCTCTATCTCTCTCACACACACACACACTCACTTAAAGACACACACACTCTAATGCTCCGCTCTGCTCAGTCAG